ATGCCCTCTCAAAAAAAAAAAAAATGGGCAGAGGACTTGAACATTTCTCCAAAGAAGAAATACAAATGGCCAACAGGCACATAAAAAGATGCTCCACATTATTAATCATCAGGGAAATGCAAATGAAAACCACAATGAGACATCACCTCTCACCAGTTAGAATGGCCACTATCTGAAACACAAGAAATAACAAATGTGGACAAGGATGCAGAAAAAGGGGATCACTGCTACACTGTTGTTGGGAATGTAAATTGGTGCAACTGCTGTGGAAAGCAGTATAAATGTTCCTCAAAAACTAAATAGAAATACCATTTGATCCAGTAATTCCACTTCTATGAATTTACCTGAAGAAAACAAAATCCCTGATTCAAAAAGATATATATACCCTTTTATCACCGTACTATTTGCAATAGCTGAGATATGGAAGCAATCTAAGTGAACATCAACAGATGAATGGGTAAAAAAGATATGGTACATATACACAATGGAGTATTATTCAGCCATAAAAAGAAAAGAAAAATCCTCCCATTCGCAGCAACATGAACAGATATAGAGGGCATTATGATTAGTGAAGTAAACCAGCAGAGAAAGACAAATACCTTATGATTTCACTTATTTTAGAATCTAAAAACAAAGTAAAACAGAAGGAACAAAACAGCAGTAGACTCATAGACGGTGAGAAGTGACTAGTGGTTACGAAGGTGGCAGGGGTTGGGGCAGGCTGTTGGGAAGTGAGAGTGAGATAAAGGGGCACAATAATTGGCAATCACAATTTAAGTTGATCATGGGGACAGTAGTATAGCATGGAGAATACAGCCAATGATTCTGTAACATATTTCTACACTCATAGATAGTAACCACACTAGAGGGAGTGAGGATTTAATAATATGGGCAACTATTGAACCAGTGTTGTACATTAGAAACGAATATAATATTGTGTATCAATGATACTTGAAAAAAAAAAGATGAACTCAACCAACTCAACAGCAAAGAAGAATCTGATTTAAAAAATGAGCAGAAGATGTGAAAAACATTTTTCCAAAGACATACAGATGGCCAACAGCTACATAAAAATATGTTCATTATCATTACTTATTAAGGCAATGCAAATCAAAATCAGAATGAGATATCACTTCTCACTTGTTAGTATAGCTATTCTGGAAAAGACAAGAAATAACAAGTGCTGATGAGGATGTGAAGAAAAGGGAACTGGTGCACTGATGGTGGGAATGTAAACTGGTGTAGACACTGAACCAGAATACAGAGGTTCCTCAAAAAGTTAAAAATAATACCAACTACTCTTAAATTAAAAAAAAAAAAAAATGGGACTGCCATATGATCCAGCAATTCCATTCTGGGTATTTATGCAAAGAAAACAAAAACACTAACTCAAAAAAACAGCTGCACCCCCATGTTCACTGCGGCATTACTTAGAATATCTAAGATATGGAAATCAACCTAAGTGTCCATCCATGGATGAATGGATAAAGAAGATGTGGTGTGGGTACGTACACACACACACACACACAATATATTCAGCCATAAAAAAAATAACATCTTGCCACTTTACAAAACATGGATGGATTCTGAAGGATTACGCTAAGTGAAATCAGACAGAAAGACAAATAATGTATGATCGAATAGGTGGAATTTAAAAAAAATCAAGCTCACAGATACAGAAACTAATTGGCAGTTGCTCTGCAGAGATGGGGGCTGGGGTGGGAGATGGGAGAAATGGGCAAACTTTTTTTTTCTGCTTAAATGAACTGATTTTCTACAAATTCTCTCCATTTTTTAGTATCTGTAAGTATAAGAGAGCATAATAAATGACAGGTAGCTGCAACAAGACACTGGAATAAAGCTGCTGTATAGGTAGTTTAAAATACATGACAAGAGATTCCTGTGAAAGGGCACAGTGGGAGATACAGAAGTGGAGTTGCAGGCATAGAAGGGATAGAAAACCAGTTCAATCCCCATTTCACTGGGAGCAAGAACATTGTGTTCCAGATCTGGGGCACTCAATAGAGTTCAACAAGAATATGTTGAATAAGTGAGTAATTATATGAATGAAGAAAGGAGGATGAAGGGGACATGATTAAAGTGACAGCTGGTCAAAAAGGAAGGGTAAATGCTTGTAAAAAGGAGATAAATACACTGACGGACAAAAAGAACCAGGAAAGCAGAGTACCACAGTGAGGCAAAGAAGAAGCAAGCTAGCAAAAGTGGCAGCTAAGAAAGTGAAATGCTACAGAGATGAAGAAAAATGAGGATCATCACAACTCTAAACCCTATCACAGTTGGTTCCTTCATTGACAAATGGGACCGGTACAAATCTACCAAGAAAACTAAAGAGTGGATTTGTAAGACAGTACATTTCTTTCTAAGTGGAATCTATTTTACCTCCATCACAATGAAACCTGATCCAATAAAATAAAAAGATATTAGTGAAAAATCAGTCTAGTCTACTACAGTGGTAAGTTAAGAATAAAGACAAAAAGGAAGGCTTACATGTGTCTTTCATATCTGAGGGTTTCTCGGATGGACCATGCAACCTGGTATGGCGAGGCCTGCTCTGAGTCGTCCAGTTCCTCTCCGCTTTCTTCAGACCAGTCCAACCCTGGGACAGGTGAGAGCATAGTTCCAAATTAGACAAATTTACATTCACTTACAGTTTGGATATAAAGCTTCCATAACCCAATACCTACAACAAGTACTAACAATATGAACACATGCCTCCTAGTGAGTTTCATCCCTGTTCTGACAAAGATATTAATAATGACTCTGTGACATAGCCCCAGGTTTCAAATAATGACATTATACCACATTCTGAGGATGAACTTCTTTTGTCAGACACTTCACAAATGGAGTAGAAACAACACAAAGTGAAAGGGGTCAAGTCAAAAAAAAGGGTAAAATTTCTTAAGTATCAAAACATCATACACTAAAATAATGTCAAAAAACCACGAAACATATTTAAGATGGTGGGAAAAGCAGCCTAATATACATTCAGGCAAGAAAAAAGTAAAAAAATGCCAGTGGAGTCACTCTGTACCTCAATAAAGGACCCTAGAATCAACTGTTAATGGCAGACACACTCCATGCCCCTTTCCCAATACCTCTGGGTGAAAAGACCCCAACCACTAGGCAGGACCCTGGGGGTACTTGTATGATGACAATGTTGTCCTATTTCTAATGTAGCTTGGGTTTCTTTTACATCTTAACACAATAGCCACCACATTGTGTCCCATTTTGAAAAACAAGTTTAGAGGGAAAGTAGGTAAGTATAGTATGAACAATACTGATTTTGTTAAATGTTGTTATTTTTAATGATTGGATAATTGTTAGTTTCCAATATAAGGGTTTTACTTTTTAAAAGTTTTTATCTTGAAGAGGTCTTGATAAATACTATGTTGCACAGCCTAAAATGTAAATAAAGCTATGTGTGGGACTACATAGCTTTAATATACTCATACCACTATGAAATTTTAGATACCTTCATAACTAGTATTGTCTTCCTTCCTGAGACCCTCAAAATCAAAAGACCATCTTCGTTAGAACCTCACAGATATTTTTTCATAATTTAAATGAGTTTCCATGTGCCAAATAGGGAAATTAAGAAAAGGTTAACTGAAATGCAAATTATAAATGCTTAAAATTGAGTAACACATTGCCACTGGCATAAAAAAACCTCAAATCTAGTTCCAAGATGACCATCCAAAATGTCAGGTCACCTTTTTAAAATGTAAGTTACTGTCTCTCAATCAAAATAATTAGTCATTTGTTTAAAAAAATTTTTTTGATCACAACAGCATCAGCTTCAGGATGTTGCAAGGTGAGAGGTCTTTCAAACACAAAGTGACACTTTCAAAATGAGAACATGAGTTATCTTTCATTGTTTCTGTAGATACTAATAACTGCTACTAAGACACCTATATTTTCTCTGAAAAAATCAAGATCTAAGTCATAAAAACTAAGATGGAATTATTTCTCCTATTGTGAAATTAACTGTCCAATAAAGCTAACCTTTGATCCTGGCTTCATTATCACTGGTTTTAATGTAACTAACTGAGATAACCAGCCCAGTCAGGGCTGTAAAAGCTAATACCAAGACTACATTTTTTTTTAAGTACTCTTTACTGATGTGAATGCAGACTATACTTGGTCATAACAGTGTACTACAATTTCTGGTTTCTCCAAAATAACTTTTGTTTTGAAAACTTAGTCCCCTAATATACCTGAATTTAAAAAAAAAGAAAAGAAAAAGAATAGTTTTTCTATTAGAGTTTTGTTCTGTTTTTAGGTTTTTGTTTCAAAATGATAGAAAATCAACCCTCAACATAATATTCTATAGTTTCAAAAGCTAAAAAATTAGCATCTACAACTAATTAAAAGTATAAATAAAAATTTAGACGGTAGAGGTAAATGGTGGAATAAAAGGCAAACATCGGAAAAAAAGTAGATCTCTACCTCAAAACTAATGCTTAATGAGTTCCAAATTGATGACTAAAACATAAATAATAATAAGATTTAAAAGAAAATATAGGTGACTATATTTTTACACTCCTGGAATGAAAAGAACCCAAATAAGGAGGAAAAAAAAAACTAATTCATAAAGAAAAATATCCTAAAAGGAGAATACAAAAAAATGTTTACTTCTAAATTCCCAAATCATTATAACAGGTATTGAAAGCAAAGAACAAATGCAAGGGAGAAGAGGCTTTGCAACAAACATGAAATACATATAAAAAACTCTTACCAATTAGTAAAAGAGAAAAACACTTTAAAAATGGATGAAAAAAAATTGAAAGGACAAGATAAATAAAAAATACAAATGTCCAAAAAGCATATGAACAAACATTCAGAACTATATTACTAATCCAAAATAGCAGTTCTCACTCAAAGTATGGTTAGCAGATCCCCAAAGGTCCCTGAAACTCTCTCCAGAAGCCCCTGAGATTAACATTATCTTCAAAACAAAACAAAGATGCTATCTGGCTTTCTCACTGCGTTGACATTTGCACTGATGGTAAAACCACCATGATGGGTAAAACTTCTGACTTCTCAGCATGAATCAAGGGAGCAGCACCAGACTGCACTGTAGTCCTTACATAGATACATGCATGTTTCACTCCCTGACTGGCAGTTAAATAAAAAGAAACAAAAAACAGAAAAACCAGTTCAAGAATGTCCTTGATAAAACACTACGAAGGGCTGTGAATTTCATTAAATCTTGATTTCTGAGTGTATGTCTTTAAAATATTCCATGTGACTGCAAAGCATATACAAAGTACCTCAGCAGCATATGAAGAAGTATGACGGTTGTTTTGCGAAAAAGCACTTGCACGACTATTGTTTCAACTGTGACCTGAACTGTTTTTGTTCAACACCAGTTTTATTTGAAAAACTAGCTGACACACAAACTGTAGTTATTAAGAATTGGCTATTTGGCAGTTACTTATTCTAAAATGAACACAGTGAAACTGTCACTTTAAGGAAAACAATGGGAAATATTTGTTGCCAATGATTAAATTCAAATTTTCACTTAAAAGCTCAGTTTTTTGAAAACTTGAATTCATCACTGATAGTATGACAACTTCCCAATAGTTTGACTTTTCTGATGAGATTGGTGGTAATATTAACAAATGAGATGTCTAAATTTTATATAATGAAATAGGTCAACATCTGAAACAACTCTATAACTCAGTAAACCAATACTTTCAAATGACCAATATGTGATATTACAAAATCATGCACTGGTAACAAGTCCATTCAACATACAAAATAGATCAGTGGATTTTAAGTTAACAGTATGTAAAATTCCTTGATATAATTTCAGATTCCACACTGCAACTAATATAAGAAACTACCACTTGTCTAATGACTCTACAGCACCTTACTACACTGATGGATAGTGACTGCAATGGGTGTGGGGGGGCTTGATAATATGGGTGAATGTTGAAACCACAATGTTGCTCATGTGAAACCTTTATAAGATTGTGTATCAATGAAATCTTCATAAAAAAAAACTATCACTTGCCAACTTTTGGTGTGGAATTAAATAATATCCACAATTATTTGAAAAAAGCTATTAAAATATTCTACCCTTTTCCAACTACAATTGTGTAAGGCCATATTTTCATATACTAACTAAAACTGCATATCCCAACAGATGGAATGCAGAGGCAGATAGGAGAATCTAGCTGTCCTCTAACAAACCAGACATAGAGATTCGCTAATAAACAATGTAAAATAATGCTGCTTTTCTCATATATGTTTTTGTTTTGGAAAATAGTTATTTTTCATAAAAAGAACATGCTAAAATGTAGTCAGTTTGTTATTTTTAAACAAATCAGTGTTTTTAATTTTCTGAATTTATACTTCTAATTCAATAAATATCAATAGAATCAACTCATATACACAAAAAGTCTATGGTGTCCTCAATAATTTTTTAGAACATAAAGGAATTCTATGACCAAAATTCTGAGAAACATTGATTTAAGGTATTCAAGTTACAGCAAATTTTCTACCAAATTTTTAATATCATCTAATATCCATGCTGCAAACACACAGAGAAACTATCATTCTCCTATACTGCTAAAAGAAGGTTAAACTGACTAAATAATTCTGAAGGAAAATTTGGCAACTCATATCAAAAACCTTTTTTAAAAAAGAGAAAGATCGTCAATTCTGCTTCTAGGAATCTATTTGAAGGAAAATTAACGATGGACAGAATTATTTTATTGTGAGGCTATACAGCTATAACACTTTAATAATGATAGAAACTAGAAATAAGTTAAAGAACTCAGCTGGGACAAATTACATTGTGTATGAAAAATTACCAACTTGATAATACATGAAAAAAATTTTAAAACAGGTCACAAAACTTTATGCGTAGCAGGAACCCAATTTTACGTATCTAAAAGAACATATATATATATATATATATATATATATATACCAATGTAAACATATATCTAAAAGAATAAATTAAAAGTATTAACAAATGGGTATTTATAAGGATTGTGCTAGAACTTACATTTTTGTTTATCAATATTTTTTCTTTAAGTCTTATTAGTTTTTTTAAATTACCAAAAGTCATACATAGTTTAGTAAAATACAAAACAATACAAGAATTCAAACCCCCATCTCCCTAAAAATACATCCAGTCCAACTCCATTCCCTTTTGGTAGTCAGTGTCAATAGCCTGATACTGTATATCCATTCACATTTTACCTATGTGCATACCAAATAGGCAAGAATCTATCCTTTTACTTGATTCAACATACATACTGATGGTTCTTGTTTATTTACTTTATTTTTACAAAAACAGGATAATACCTCTTGATTTTTTTCTACTTGTGAATACATCATCGGCACACAAGTAAAAGATACAGATTTCATATATTCTTTTTATAAAGTAGTTGTATAATACTTTGTAAAAAATACATGTACACCATAATTTACTATTGGTTATAAAAGTTATTTGCAGATTTTTAATATTGTAAGCAGTGCGGCAATTAACACCCTTGAACACATATCCTTACAATCTGATCCATTTTTAATTCATTGGACAGAGTCCCAAGTCAGTTTGCTGACCATATACTTTTATTTTGTACATACTGTCACATTACTCACCAACAATGCATACGATCCCATATCCTCATCAACAGTAGATACAATTTTTGCCAATCTTATGGTTATTCATTGCCATTTTAATGTGCATTTCCCACCCCACTGCTGTAGCGACTGAAGTTTTTATTTATTTATTGGTATTTCTTCTTCCTCTATTCCCATCCTGTTCTCTTTTTCCTATTGCTAAATGCCATACAAATCATTTTTTCCTAAAGTTAGTTAGAATGCCAGTTTACAGCACATTCATGAATATTCTACATGAATTGAGAGTTTAGATTATCACGGACAAAACAATCAAAGTATTAATAGAAAACATAGACTATCTGTATAAACTTGAGATCAGAGAGATTTTCTTGAGTGAGACAGAAAACTCAAAAGCAACAAAGAATGACATTTGACTACATTAAAGTTTTATCTTTATTTTTTCACTTTTAAATCATGAACAGGTATTCTTTGAGAATTAAAAAAAGTTTTTAAAAAAAATCTATAGGCAGATATTAACAATGCTATCATTATTCCAAAGTCCTCTGATAAGTCATGGAGAAGATTTCATTAGACACACAGGCCCTGATCTCACAGAGGCACACAATCAAACAAACTGCCTTTTCATGCTGCTACTACCATGAGAAGCTACAACTGAAATTCTAATTCCCAACCCCTATTTCTGTATCTTGTCCACCAATTATTCTCCTCTCCAGTAGCATATTTACTTTAAGGTGATCTAAGTACAGAATCTTGAATTGGGCCATTCTTTCCCGGGGTTCTTCTACCCATAGAACACCGGTGGGTAGTTATGAAAATAAAGCCCCATGCAAAAGGCACATTTTGTTAAACTGCACACAAATGATGTGGTAAAAGAGATGATAACTCACCTAAATGGGGAAACAGATCAGTGTCCAACTGATGTTTCTGGGTGCACAGTTTCACCAGTCTCTGCAGTCGACTTATACAAGAGAAGTGTGGAGAGAAGGCTGTGGCTCTCATAAGGACCCGGTCCGTCCTGGGTGGGTCCGCGATGGGAGCCCTACTGGATGGCAGGAAGGGCAGAGGCCTCTTGTGAGACAACTGCCTTGCTTGTGCTATAGTGTGTGTGGTGGGGGCCACTCCCTGCATTGGTAGGCTGGTGTTCTGAGGTTGAGGTGACTTGCAGACTACACCCTGCGCTGGCGCTGGAGGTTTTAAAGAAGTGGGCGAAGGTGACAGGTGGGAGTGCTGCTGCAGAGGCTGCTGCTGTGAAGGGGCAGGAGGGGGACTAAAGTGCTCTTGTCGAACTTTTAAAATCTCGGTCTCTCTCTGGCGCTGCCGATTCTGGGCCAACTTGCTCTGCAGCTTCTTTCTCACAGTTGCCCCTTTCTTCAGGTCATCCTCCTCCTCGTTGAAAGCAAACGGGTCTTCCAACTCAGTTTCCAGGTAGTGGAGAGGGACCCTTGCCCCAGGTGGAGAGAGAGACATTCCATCCAGTCCATTCGGCATCTTCAGGGCCAACGTGGGCACCGCTAGGCTGAAGGCCATGGTATCCATCTGGTGCCTGACCTTTACTTCATCTATAGGATCATTCTTTTTCTTCCTCTCTTTTTTCGGGATAAAGCCAAGTACCTGCAAGTGGCTGTTGCAGTACCTTTAAAAATACACATATATATGGGAAAATGTTCATGATACATATTTAAAAACAATATAAAACCACGTATTATAAAATGTGAGTCCTCATATGTTAAAAATGCATAACTATAGGTAACTCTTGGCATTCATGGATTTAATATATACAACTTCCACTACTCTCAAGTAATCCTCAGAATCTCTGAATTTTACTGAAGCAAGTATGTGAACTGTACATGTGCAGAGGCTGCCAGACAGAAGCAAGTCATTCAGACAGTGAGTGGCCCTGGAGAATGGCCCAGGTATTGCTTCTCACATGCTTTGTTCTCCATTCATAGTATACAAAGTAACTCATCCTAAAGGATCCTAGAGCCTAAAGGATCACTTAACATTCTCCTATGGAGAAAAAAATTTATGTTCCAATGCAATTCAAGTAGAGATTCACGAAGACCTTACAACATAATCCTTAAGAATGTCAAGTATCTACTGTGTGTTCCACACACACACACATACAATATAGAGGGACGGAGAAAGTAAAATAATAAATAATAAAACTGGCTAGTGGGATTATAGATGAAATGAGTTCCTTAAGAGCCAGATATAAGTACCTGTATTTTCACCTCTAGTTTCTCCATGCAGTAGGTACTAAAATGATGCCCTTTATACAGATGAAGAAACTAAACTTTATAGAAGTTAAATTAACTTGCCCAAAACCACCCAGCTAGAAAGTGATGGCTGATACTTGAACCCTAAAAATCAAAGCTCATGAAGACTCCTATTAGTCTTCAACCACAAGCAGGTTACTTTGGTGATGTGAATGCTATTTTAAAAATACTATGAAAGGATAGAATCCTTCTATATAATGAGAAAATAGAATGTATATTATTCCAATAAACTACACTGAGAACCTGTAGAGGCTTTTAATCAGTAGAAAAGTACTATTTTTCCAAACTGGTATTCCTCACACAGTTCCATAAAATGCTAAAAGAATGTAGTAAAAGCAGTATTTCATGCTTAACTAAATCTGGAAGATGCTGGCTTAAACAGAATTAGACAATGATTTTGTTATTCATTTCTCCTGAACATCTTCTCAAAGCATTTTGTATGATAATAGGCATTATACTCTAAGGTAGAGATGTACACATCTGGCAGTGTTTCCCAAACTTATTTGAAAGTGGCATCTGTTTTTATTGCAGCACACTTGCATTATCTCCACTGAATACAGTTTGGGAAAAAAGGCAATAAAGTAAAATAATGTCAATCCTCAAACTCACTGGGCTTCATTAAAAAATTTTTTTTCATAACTGTTAAAAATACAAATTCACCAAATAATCAGAAGACATTATTTTGCTGCTCAGTCTTAGAAATAAATTAGAGGCACTCCTTAATAGTTTCTCAGACAATAGAGAGCTTTAGGGTGTGTCTGTGTATGTGTACCTAGCAGATTTGGGCTACATCCCCTGAACAGAATAGATTCAGCTATGGACAAGGAAAGGGGTTTCAAGGTAACTATACTGAGGAAGCTTCCCAATAAAGAATAAATGTGTTTTGTGGTTGTTTTCAAGTCATTGTCAAGTTAACAAATGATTAGCTTTTTTAGTGGAAAGAAATGAGTTGGTTTTTTTTTTTAGTTTAGAAATCAAACTTTCCTGCTCATTTACGTATGGGCAGCCTGAACTGGTAAATGAGGCTACTGTGAGCTGCATTATGGAACGGAGCAGAGGCTGATCCGCATGTACAGTCCTCGTAGAACCTCATTCTTGACTCTGTTGGCACAACATATAGTCTGAACTCAAAAAACCCTGCGCCTCTTCTAAAAGGGAAAATTCTTCATAACCGGAATTAGAAGAGCTTAGTTATGAACATTTAAAATAAATATGCAAATATAAATTTCTAGTCTAAATTTACAGGGGACTGCTAATGGGTTCATTTTGGAGAGATGAAAACATAAAATTAGGCTGTGGTGACAGGTGCACAACCCTGTGAACATACTAAAAAGTACTGAATTGTACACTTCCAATGGGGGAACTCTATGTGATGTGAATCATATCTTAAGCTGTTCGGAAAAAAAATAAACACTCAGGAAACAAATTTCTTGGCAAATACATACTACTAAAAATATATACCACATTATAGCATATTTAAAATATCATACAAAATAACAAACTTAGTATCTCTGAGAAATCAAGTACAGTAATGAGTTAGCTTCCCACTGTAAAGTGTACTAGAAAATGGACTTTACTTTTTAATTATACCAATACTTCTACTGAACATAATACTATTCTATTTTAAAAAGGTGGAATCCCATAAATTATCATTCATGATACACACCAGGTAAGTTAGACACCAGGTATTATGCAGCTTTCTCTAGCTGACCACCAACCAGATAATTTTGTCAATTAGAAGCCCTTGGGAATTTGTTTTCTAAAATAATACATAAAACCATCTCAGATCCCTAGTGTCCAAAGAGTAACTGCATCAACCATAATGAAAGTTTATTTTCAAAAGAATATTAACCTTTTCTACCTTATGTCATTAGTATAGTTTTAACTATCAATATTTACACACCGGTTTAGACATATTATTTCATGAATTCAACATGGATTTCTTGAGGTAAAATAGGAACATTACCTCCTGCGAATGTCTGCTTTAATCTATTTTCAAACACTCTTACAAATAATAAAAATATCAATCCCAATAAATATGAGAGATGCCCTCTCAAAAAAAAAAAATATCAATCCCATTTGCATTCATATGGTCTTGGACCAATTTTGAAAAAAAAATACAACTCAGTATTTATTAAGTATAGCTTCTCTTGACATAGCACTACCAAAGTCCTTTCCATTCTTCTCTTGTTCTAAAAAGAAGAAATTACTTCAAATATAAAGGTGAAGACATATGCTTCAGATAATTAATATTTTGGACCAATTCAGAGTGACTCTCACTTCTTGCTGTTAGCTTTTAATATTTGCTTCAGTGAAATGGAAAAAAAATCTAAGGTTGACAACTGCAACTGTAATAAACTGAATTTAAGACAAAATTATGGAGGTGTGTTTATAATGGAGCTTGATAAAAAAATTAACCCAAGTTTATCTATTCTTCACATTAAACAAAGGCAAGGGTATGGAATTATCACATTCAATCAGCTAAAACCAATTGGACAGATATGTTTAGCCTAATACAGCAGTCCCTTTCTCATCTGATATTAATGTTTTATTCCTTGCCTTACTAAGCAGCTGTTTCTAACTTTCAGGTATTGTAATTTGAAGCATTACATGCTCATTTGAAATTCTAAGGGGGTATTCCCAATTATACCAGATTATACTACACTCATGTTGGTGGGATCTGTACCAACACAAATTATTAATTTCACCTTAAAAGTGTAAAAATTGCTCACCAGGACATATAAAATACATGATTCCCTTTTCAGTCAATTCATACCCATGACATTTTACTTACGCAGAGGAAACACGATGGTGTATATATATATATTTTAAAGACAGAAGTAAAAAGTTCAAATTTTCAACTAAGGATAAACTTTTTGAAAAATAAGCATGCATCTCTCTGCAATATCCTACAATGACCAACATGGTTTCTGGAAAATTGAAGAAAAAGAAACATGAAAATGATTATATGTGAAATATAGTGTGAATTTTCCTAAAAATATGGAAGATGAATAACTAGCATAACACTCCTTCTTTAAAAACACCTCCACATTAAAAAAAACATTCAGCAAAGCACAAATTCATAATTCTAACAATAAAGTCTACCCCTACTATGAAAATATAATTCCTTAAGTTATCATGGAACTCTTTTTAACCAAAAGAGGCACGATTATAAAACAATGCCAAACATTACTTTGAAGTCCAATAAGAAATAAATTTTCTGAATAATTCAAATAATCATTCTTTTGAATATTCTCTTTCAGTATGTTCATACCCATTGGTACCTTTCAAGCACAGATTTAAAAATTCCAAAGTATCACTGATTACAACACCTAAGCAGTTCCTATAATTTCTCTTGTTCAGGCAAGTGACAGAACTAAGTAGAGAATACAGCAACTATTTTACAAGGCTGCAAACCAAACACATTAGTACCAAGACTTCAAGCAACAAATCTGAGGGCAATGATTTTTTTAAGTAATCCTACAAAGTCTGCAAATCAATAAAAAAAGAAGAAAACATTTAAACTAAAAATAAAAAATAAAATTCTCCAAATTTACATGATTAATAAATCATGTAAATAAAAAATTCCCCAAATTTACTACATTTTTTTAAAAATTGCCATCTCTCATCTTTAGAAGCATTCCAACGTTTACTTAGATTATCCTGAAAAAACTCAACATTTAAATTCATCTTATCAGAAAAAAAAACAGAAAACCCCAAGCCTGCTAATTAAATCAAAAACCGATTCCCTTTATTCTTACCTACGATCCTCCGATTTGGGGATGGGGTTGGTGCAGCGCTGGCTGTTATACTTGGCCACATATTCACATTGCTTGAAGGGAGCAGTCTTGTCCTCCAGAACGTGTCTGATACAGAAAGCGTAGCCGTTGAGTCGCCGCTGCTTGCACAGTTTGGGGCTATATGAGCACAAGGGCTTATTGTCAACCTCAGAGAAGTGTATATGTTTCCCTTCATACATCACGTGACTCTATTCCTTGTGAACATCAGCTAAAAGACCACCACAAAAAAAAAACAAAAAACAAAACAGAAACCCAAATGATAAATCAGAGAGTATAAGTCAGATTTAAGTTGAGAATTTCACTGAGGGACTTCTGGCCCCACAGCCATACCTGATTTTAAATCTTCTGCACCATAGCAATGTTTAGAGAACCCCAAGGATACCACAGTTTGGAATGCTGCAGAATCAAGATGAAGCAGATTGTCTACAAAAATATCAAAAGGCCTAGTTAACAAACAGAAATAAATAAAACTTGCTCACCTGGGAGGTAAAATACTAATTATAGCACCCTTTCAAAGGGGATGGATTCTTCATTGCAATCCAACATCCTAATATTGAATTCAAATAATAAGAGGCATTATGAAATATTGTTACCTTACCCCTCCCAAAATGAACTAAAGAACTTTTACTCTGGTTAAGTTTTATAAATACCTCAGAGCAGCAAGGCTCTTCCCACCAAACCAATGTCACAAAGTGGCAGGTCTTTTTATTTCATTACTGGTGGCATGCTACACCTGTTTTCAGAACCTAAATCTCTTTACAGTGCCAACAGAATGCACTCTATACACCTAAAACTTCCCTCAGAAATTCCACATTTTTTGACATGTTGGCAATATATTTGGCTATTTGTAATAAATGTGTCTACAAAATATAAAAAAGAGAGCACATTCCTGTTTTTTAAAAAACTCATTTTTCCTCTCTAATATTCCCCCACACTTAACCCATCCAAACTATTAACTTCTTGAGCCCAAAGACTAGGAACCCACCACATACACTTCCACCACTCAGTTCAATGTTCTGCACCACATGATGCTCCAAATTATTCAATCAGGACAGTAATCACGGCTTCTGAGTCTTTGAAGGTTTAATAAGAAAATGGAAGGGAGAAATAAAACTATACTTCCTACCTCTATACACAAAAGGTCCAGCAGTAGCATTTATACATTATAACACAACACAGTCTACAATGAAAATGAATCAACTAATTTGTAAAGTCAGGGTCATAGAGGACTGATGTGGTCCAACCTACTTTCTCCACACTCCAAAGGGCAATCCAAATGGCTGGTGGAACAGGTCAGATACCAGCTACAGAAAAATTCCAGAAATACTCTCTCCTTTACAAAACTGAGTATGAAATTCCTTACACCAGTGAATGATAAGGTACATAAATGCTTGAGGAGTCAGAAGACATGTTTTCTCAAGTCTGAAAACTGCCACTTATACCTTGAACAAATCATCTAACCTCAGTTTTCTTATCTGTAAAATAGGGATAATAATAATAGCTGTTATGATCAGATAGCTCTAAGAATCACATGCTACAAAGCCTGTAACACACTAAGTACCATGTCTAGATCATGTTAAGCACTAAACCAGTGGAAGTTACTCATAAATGTTGATTCTTACTGTGATTACATTTTACCTACCAATGCTAAGTAAAGGCAGGGAAGTTATATTACCCTTGAAAAGCATTTCACTTACTCTAGTAGGAGGAAAAAACACACTTAAAATAGTATTAGCTTGGTTAACAAAAATCACTCATTACTGAGTAAACCTAATCACACATTAACATTAAACAAAAGTAAGGGCTTTCCCTTTTCATTTTATTAGGATGCAAGGAAGAAAAGTTGGACTAAACATTTTAATTTAGCTGCCCTGAAGGTCTGGATGTTCAGGACAGGAAATATTTCAAAGCAAACCTATGCTGTTTCATTTTTACACTCTCTTTGGACTCCACAATTCACCTGACAAACAAGAATTTTTCATGAATCAATTCAAGCAAACCTATATGAACTTCAGGAAAAAAGTACACTGCATGTAAACACAAATAGCAATTCACAGAATCAATTTGATTGCTATTTTGAAAAAAATCAACCTATACACCTGTATGTATGAAAATATCTTATGAATTATACAAAAAAGTCTGAGGACAAGGATGGAGGATTATAAGGCCAACTTTCACTTTTTACTCTAACATATTCTAGATATGCAATCCTATCTTTCAAGGTTGATGATTTCCCTCATTTCCCCCAAATTTTTATACATCTTTTTTTTCCTATTCGAATTGGTTAGAACTGCTCAATGTTAATAATGGCAACCATTGTTCCTCCTAACTTATTAAATTTGAGAATTGCTTCAAGTCAATAGTAGGAATAATGCTTTTCTTATAAGACGTATTTCCTGTTAAGAAAGAATGGAGTAATTCCTATTAAGAGTTGTTTCTTTTTTTAAAAGAACTCAGAACTGAAGGTTAATTTTACTAAATTCTTTTTCAGTTTCTAAGGAGATGTTCACTTTCCACTTCTGTACTTTTTAAAATATGGTGTTCATTATTTCCTGTTACTGAACTCTTCTTATGTTCCTGGGATGAAAGCAACTTGGTCATCATGTAGTGCCCTTTTAATGTGTTGCTAAATTACACTTCCTAGTATGCAGGATTTTTGTATTTTGATGATGGTCTACAGTTTTCTCAATATAGTATTTCAAAAAAATAGAAGGCTGCCTGGGCTGAGGAGTGTTTGTGAAGTAGGTCAGGTTTTCAAATGCATCTGTATACAATTCAGCAATGTGACCACTTACATTTAGTTTCCTAGATACCTGATTCATTCTCATATTCTGTGTGTATTCATATATACATGTGATATATGCTTTCTCCCTTTATTCGTGATTAGGTTCAATAGGGGTTTAATCTGTTTAATCTATTTACCAACACCCTCTAAAAACAAACAAAAAAACCTCTTTTGGTACCTCCATGTATGTTTTCAGATTCATCAGTTGCTGCTTGTATCTTTGCTAATACCTTCTGCTTTTTTCTATTCACTTTATTATTTTTGTAACTTCTTGGACTGAATTCTCTGATTTTCATTCTTTTCTTGCTTGCTAACTTATTTACATCTATTAATTTTCCTCTGAGAATGTACTGCTTTAGCAATATTTCACAGGTACTAACTCACAGAATTTTTATTATCAGTACTTTCTAATTTCTCCTTTGACCCAACAGTTATTTTTTTCAGACAGCAGCACTATGCTTTCCTTTGTTTTAGTTCTAGTTAAGAATAAACAGCACAATCCGCATATATCTCTGCTTTTTGGATTCAACTAATATTTTATTTGGGGCCTAATAGGTATGCTTGAAAAAGAGTATTCACTGTTACGAGGGTATATTGTTTGCTTATACCATGTATCATGCTATTAAAGGTCCACTATGTTATTACTTATTTTGTCTTCGTGCTCTACCAACAGTTAGAACAGATGAACCAAAATCGCCTACTATAATCTGATTTGCTTCTCCTTGTTTTTGTTTTATAAATTTTAAGGTTGGATTGTTTGATATATGAGATCATGACCACTAGACTGTCACTCTTACTATGAAATGCAACTCTGTTGATGCTTTGTCTTGAATTCAACCTTGCCTGACACAAATATCTGGACTGTCATATTTTTGTTTCAATTTGTTGGTAAAGTCTTTGCCCATCTTTACATTTTTAAGCTTTCTGAGGTACTGTTTAAGGTCATGGGTCAGTAAACTCTGGCTTACAGGACAAATCTGGCCCACTATATATTTTTATAAATAAAGTTTTATTGGAACACTGTCCTATTCATTCATTTACATCTTATCTATGGCTGCTTTCATGCTATAATAATAGAGCTGAGTAGTTGCAACAGAGATTGTATGGCTTAAAGTCCTAAAATATTTACTAAATAAGTTACTAAAATTGAGTACCCATTTTAGGTACATCTCTTAATAGGTTCAACTTTTTTGCTCCAATCTGAGTATGATTTTAATGAGGTCAATGCACAATTTCATATTTACTTACATGACAAATATTTCTTACTAATTTTATCTTTTTGAATGCTTTTTTTGAATGCAGTAAGAAAATAAGTATACTTAACATTATCCTGATTATCTCATGTTATGAATAAGAAAAATTTTCATTTTATGTAACTACCTACCCATCCCCTATTTTTAACTTATGTTATTATTTCTACACTGTGATACTTTTATAACATTTTAGTATTAGTTCTATTTTAGTATTAGTTCTATATTTAAATTTATTCACTGCTAAGCACTAGTCCTTCAACCTTAGTTTTCAATTCACCTCTTAATTCAACAGTTATTTATAATCTCATCTCTCTTCTCTATCCCAGACCCTAAGAGCTGACTTCCACAAACTAAGTGATGGTTCTTCTGTTTGAAAATATATGTCAACTGATATTATACTTAAACTATAGCTTGCATGGATATAAAATCCTTGGGTCATATTTGTTTTGTCTACTCACTTTGTATTTTCCACGAATGGCAAGTCTGAGACTAGCATCTTCATTTTATAGGAGGCTTGATTTTCCCCCCAATTATGACCTCATAATAAAAGTCTATATTTAAAGATAGAATTCACGTTTTGTTCTATTGTGGGAAATTCTTCCTTAATGTCTTGGAAATTTTTTCCGCTTCACTTATTCTCTTGTCTTCTTCAGGGGTATCAATTATTGGTATGCTAGATTTACTGTATTCTGTACCTGTCACTCTCTCTCTAGGCTTTCTTTTTACTTTTTCTATTTTGGATAGCTCAAATTTCTCAAGCTTACTATCTTAACCCCAGCTACAGTGTATATTTGCTGTTTTGAAAAGTTACCTTCATTTCTATTTTTTTTAATAGACTTTGTTTTTCTTCTTTTTTGTTACCTGGTTCCATCCGCTTACTCTTAACCTCTTTCTGGTGTCTTATCACTTATTTCTTGAGCTTTTGTATCTCATCTTTAAACTCCTGTTTCAGAGGAGCCATGTCTCACCCCCAACTCCACCAATGGGAACATTTGTTCCTAATTTTCACATGCTCTGCTGTTTCTCAATCACCAACACTCTTCCCTTGAGGCTTGACCCAAAGCTGGACTAGTCTCCCCAGTTCACGGTGGCCCACATGGCAGATTTTTAAGGGATATAATTTAGGCTTTATTTCTCTTCCATGTTAATATCAGCAGCTGTAAGGCTGCTTGCTGCCAATTTCTCCTCCACTCTAAACTTCTGGCAAAAATAGGACTGTACAGTCTGGAATTCAATGCCACCTCTCTTGCCACTCAGGAAGCCTAATGCACATACCAACTTCACCATTCCAAGTATGGGGTTACTGGTTCTGTTCTGATGGTGTTATCACTACTTGGGAGAAAGCAGCTCCCCTCACTTAGCCTGAGTTCTACAGAGGAAATCAT